GGAGGAGGAGGGGGCGGGGCCTCCGCCCAGCTCAGCCAACCGGAGATCGGCGCCGTGCGTCAGCTGATCGCGGGCTACCGGGAGTCGGCCGCCTTCCTGCTGCGCTCCGCCGACGAGCTGGAGAGCCTGATCCTGCAGCAGAACTGACCCCCCGCCGGACCCAAAACACACACTCACACACACACACACACACATACACGCTTCACGCCTTTTTTGTTTATTTTTTTTTTGTTTTTCGGATGGCGTCTGCCTCCCCTGCCTCGACCTGTTAAGGCCCAACACCATACCTCCTCTGGTTTTTCCCTCCGCCCCCCCCCCTTTGTCTGCTCCACTCAAACTGAAAAAAAGGAAAAATCCTACCATTTTCCGAAAGCAAAAACAATCTCAAGAAAAAACCTCAACCCACCGATTCTGCCTGAGGAAGAAAACTTTTTTCTTTCTTTCTTTCTTTCTTTCTTTTCTTTTTATTTAACCTCCTGAGACCCGAGCTTTTATTTGGCATGCATTTTAGCTTTTTTTTTTAAAGATATATGAGATACATATTTAATTAAATGTTTTTACAATTTTGTTCTGACAGTCCCATTGACTTATTTACATTTTTTCTATTACACAATAAGAACATGATTGGATGGAAATGTATAAAACCATTTTACTTTAGATTTCAAACAGTGTCTGATAGCATCTGCTATGAGGTCAAGAGGTCAAAGCTGAAAGAAAAAAAAGAAGTATCATGGTAAAGAGAGACAAAAATGCAACGTCCTCTTATGAGGACACAGGGTCTCAGGAGGTTAAATAAGGAGCAGAGCGTTTGGACTCTGGAGTCGCCTCCTCTTCTCTTCTGGAATCACCTCACAATCAGCACTACGCTCTCAGAGACACGGTGTGGAGGACAGAGGAGAAAAAGAGGAGCCGAGTGGTCCCAAAAGAGCCCAGCTTGTGTTTTCAGGAGCAGATCTTGCCTATATCCCGGCGGAAAAGGCGACGTTTTTACGTTTTTACATTTTTCCGGTGAAGCTTGCGGAATTGGTCGATGAATGCCCCCGCCGAGTTGTCTTATGATCATTACAAATAAGAAAATAGTATATATATATATCTATAAAAACTCCCTGAAATATTCTATCTAAAGCTGTTTCTTTTTAATTAGGTCATTAGCTATTCATTTGATTCAATTATGAGTCCAATGACACATTTTTTGTATTGGATTCTTTTGTTTTTTTTGTGACTTTTCGCAAGTGAATGAAAGAAAACAGGATTGATCCATGATGAGAGAAAGCATCGTTGTCATGCGAACAGAAAAAGATTTCGGAGATTTTCTCCTTTCGCAAAGAAAAAAAAAGAAAAAAAGTCTCTTTTTGTTTGTTTTTCTGTGCTTGCTTGTACATAAGCTCTGTGTCCTTTAGCACTTTTCCCCTCCCATCCTAAACCCTCATAATCCTCATCTCTCGCCATACAACCAGGAAGCAACTCGCGACTTATGCAGAAAGGATGCCATTTATCGCCAAAAATTTTACCTCAAAATCACACCGGTTGTTTCCAGTTTCCAGCTCCGTGGTTTAACGCACTCCCACCAAAATAAAAGCCCGTTTGTTTCTGTCTTAAAGGTCTCTAGATTTCGTACGGAGAGGATAAACCCGAACCGAGCAAAGGATTTTTAAGAATGATGCGTTTTCCAGACTGGATTTTTTTTTTTTTATGAAATCTTTCGATATTTTTTTCTTAATCTCTTGTGGGCGTGTTCATGTGCTGCTGTATATAACCAGTTTTAATCTTTAAAAACTTGAAGAATCAGGACTTGCGTTGGCTAGAGTGCATTCCCCCTGTGAGCTCTCTCCATAAAGGGGCGAGAGGGAGTGTGTGAAAAGGAAATAACAGGGGTATTTTCTGAAAAAGCCTTGGTTAAAAACTGTCAATTTGACAATTTCCTCTTTACAAATTCAGTCATACCTCCAAACGAAAACCTCAACGTCACCCACTTTGGTTTCCCTACGTCCCCTTTCCTTTTACTCTCTGTCTTTTTTTACACTGGACCTACTCTACCGAGCTCTTCTTCACGGACCTAACTGACCTCTTAGTCTTTTTTCCAGAGGCTGAGGGAGGCTGCTCTTTCTGTCCATGTTTGTCTTTTATTGTTGTAAAGTTG